GACACATGTTACCTCAGGGTAAATGGTTGGGAAAAGATTTTCCAATCAAATGGACCCATGAAACTAGTTGGTGTAGCAATCCTACTATCTAACAAAATAGACTTTACACTAAAATTAATCAAAGGAGATGAAGAAGTTCATTTCCTATTCATCACAGGAGAAATCCACCAAGATGTCTCAATTCTGAACATCTCTCTGCCCTAAAGACAAAGATAACCATGTTCATAAATGAAACATTACCAAAACTCAAATACTACACAATACTTCACACATAGTGGGAGATTTCAACACCCCAATCTCAACACTAGACAGGTCCAACAGATAGAAACTGAACAAAGAAACAAAGGAACTAACAGAAGTTATTACCCAATTGGGTTTAACATACAGCTATAGAATATTCCGTCCAAACACAAAAGAATATACATTCTTCTCAGTATTAAATGGAAACCCCTCTAAAACTGACCACATACTGGGCAACATAGCAAACCTCAATAGATACAAAAAAAAATTGGAATAACCCCCTGTATCTTATTGGATCGCCATGATTTAAAGTTAGAATTCAACAACAACACAAACTGCAGAAAACCTACAAATCCTTGGAAACTGAACAATGCCCAATTGCACCATTCCTGGGTCAAGGAAGAAATAAATAAAAGAAATTAAAGACTTCTTAGAATTCAATGAGAATGAAGATACAACATGCCCAAACTTATGGGATACTTTGAAAGCAATACTAAGAGGAAAGTTCATAGATGTAAGTGCCCACATGAAGAAACTGGACAATAGTCACACTATAGAATTAGGAGCACAACTGAAAGCTCTATCACAAAAAGAAGCAAACTCACCCCAGAGGATTAGATGCCACGAAATAACAAATTGAGGGCTGAAAACAATAAAGTAAAAACAAAGAAAACAATATAAAGAATCAATGTAACAAAGAGTTGGTTCTTCCAGAAAATCAAAGAGATAGGCAAACCTTTATCCAAACTAACCAAAAAGGAGAGAACACACAATTTAACAAAATCAGAAATGAAAATGTGCCTGTTGTTATCAATGGACACTGAAGAAATCCAGAGAATCATTAGGTCATACTTTCAAAAATTGTACTCCACAAAATTTGAAAATTTAAAGGAAATGGACAATTTTCTGAATAGATATCATTTTTTGAAATTAAATCAAGAACAGATAATCAATTTAAATGACATAGAAGCAGTCATTAAGTCTCCCAACCAAAAAAAAAAAAAGAAAGAAAGAAATCCCAGGGCCAGATGATGTAAGTGCAGAATTCTACCAGAAATTCAAAGAACAGCTAATACCAACACTCCTCAAAGTGTCCCACACAATAGAAACAGAAGGGTCATTGCCAGACTCTTTATGAGTTTACAATTACCTTGGTACCCAAGCCACACAAAGACACAACTAAGAAAGAGAACTACAAATCAATAACCCTCATGAACTTTGACTCAAAAATATTCAATAAAATACTGGCAAACGGAATCCAAGAACACATCAGAAAAATCATCCACCAAGATCAAGTAGGCTTCATTCCAGGGATGCAGGGATGGATCAACATATGAAAATCCATCAATGTAATCCACCATATAAACAAACTGAAAACGAAAACCACATGATCATCTCATCTCACTACATGCTGAAAAGGCCTTTGACAAAATGCAACACCTCTTCATGATAAAGGTCTTGGACAAATCAGAGATAATCTAAACATAATAAAAGCAATATACAGCAAACCAACAGGCAGCATCAAACTAAATGGAGAGAAACTCAACATGATGCCTCTACAATGAGGAACAACACAAGGCTGTCCACTCTCTCCAAATATCTTCAATATGGTGCTTGAAGTTCTATTTAGAACAATAAGACAACAAAAGGAGATAATGGGGATACAAATTTGAAAGGAAGAAGTCAAACTTTCACTATTGCAGATGGTATGGTAGTTTACATATGTGACCCGAAAAATTCTACTAAGGAACTCCTACAGCTGATAAACACCTTCAGCAAAGTGGCACTATATACGATTAACTAAAAGAAAAAAATCAGTACCCCTACTATATACAGAAGATAAATGGGCTGAGAACGAAATCAGGGAAACATCACTCTTTACAATAACCACAAAGCATAAAATATCTTGAGGTAACTCAAACAAGTGAAAGACAAAACAATCTACAGATTCAATGCAACCTCTATCACATCCCAGCACAATTCTTCACAAACACTGAGTGAACAACACTCAACTTTATATTGGAAAACCAAGAACCCAGTATAGCCAAAACAACCCTGTACACTATAGGAACTTCTGGAGGCATCACCATCTGACTTCAAGCTCTATTATAGAGTTATAGTACTGAAAACAGCTTAGTATTGGCACAAAAATAGACAGGTAGACCAATGGAATCCCATTGAAAACCTTGATGTTAACCCACATGTCTACAAACACCTGATTTTTGACAAATAAGCTAAAATTATACAATGGAAAAAGAAAGCATCTTCAACAAATGGTGATGGCATAACTGGATGAGGAGAAGTAGAAGATTGCAGATAGATCCCTATCTATCACCATGCACAAAACAAGTCCAAATGGATCAAAGACCTCAACATAAATCCAGCCAAAGTAATCCTGTTAGAAGGGAAAATGGGAGGTACCCTTGACCATATTGGTACAGGAGATAGCTTCCTGAACATAACACCAGTAGCACAGATACTGAGATCTACAATGAATAAATCATACCTCCCAAAACAGAGAAGATTTTGTAAGGCAAAGGACACAGTCAACAGAACAAATGGCAGCCCACAGAATGGGAAAAGATATTCACCAGCCCCACATCTGACAGAGGTCTGATTTCCAAAATATACAAAGAACTCAAGAAGCTAGTCACAAAAACACCAAATAATCCAATTAAAAAGTGGGGTACAGAATTCTCAATAGAGGAATCTAAAATGGCCAAAACACATTTAAGAAAGTGTTCAACATTCTTAGCCATCAGGGAAATGCAAATCAAAATATCTCTGAGATAAGATCTTTCTCCTGTCAGAATGGCTAAAATCAGAAACGCCAATGACAACTTATTATGGAGAGGATATGGAGAAAGAGGAACACTCCTACACTGCTGGTGGGAATACAAACTTGTACAACCACTTTGTCAATCAGTATGGCTGTTCCTCAGGAAAATGGGAATCAGTCTACCAAAGATGCAGCAATTCCACTCTTAGGCATATACCCAAAAGATGCACATTCATAGAACAAGGACATCTGTTCAACTATGTTCATAGCAGCATTATTTGTAGTAGCCAGAACCTGGAAGCAACCTAGATGCCCCTTAACTGAAGAATGGATGGAGAAAATGTGATACATTTACACAATAGAGTGCTGCTCAGCAGAAAAAAAAATAATCAGTGGAATCTTGAAATTCACAGGCAAATGGATAGGACTAGAAGAAACCATCCCGAGTGAGGTAACCCAATCACAAAAAGACAAACATGGTATGTACTCACTGATATGTGGATTTTAGACATAGAGCAAAAGATTACCAGCCTACAATCCACATTGACAGAAAAACTAGGAAACAAGGAGGCCCCTAAGAGAGACACAGATGGTACCCCTTGAGAAGGGGAAAGGGACGAGAGCTCCTGAACAAATCGGAAGTATGGGGGGAGGGGAGAAGAAGTTAGGAGAAAGAGAAGAGGAGAAAAGTAATGAGTGGGGAGGAGGACATGAAGGTGCAGGAACATTGAGTAGGAGGAAGAATAGAGAAGAACAAGGAAAGAAATACCTTAATAGAAGGAGCCATTATAGATTTAAAGAGAAATCTGGTACTAGGGAAATATCCTGAGATCTACAAGGATGACCCCAACTAAAAATCTAAGCAATACTTGAGAGGCTGCCTTAAATACTCTTTCCTGATAATGAGATTGATGACTACCTTAAATGTCATCCTAGAGCCTTCATCCAGTAGTTGATGAAAGCATAAGCAGACACTCACAACCAAACACTTTACTGAACTACTGGAATCCAGTTGCAGAGAGGGAGGAGTGATGAACAAAAGGTTCAAGACCAGGCTGAGGAAACCCACAGAAACAGCTGACCTGAACAAGGTGGCGCTCATGGTCCCCCAGATTGACTGCTGGGAAACCAGCATAGGACTGAAACAGGCCCCCTGAATGTGGATATCAGTTATGAGGCCTGGGCAGTCTATATGGCCTCTGGTAGTAGAATCAGTATTTATCCCTAATGCACGAATGTACTTTGGGAGCCCATTTCCCATGGAGCTCCCTCAGCCTAGACACACAGGCAAGGGCCTAGGTCCTGCCCTAAATTATGTGACAGACTTTGATGATCCCCATGGAAGGCCTTGTTCTGCCTGGGGAGCCGAAGGTAGATGAGATGGGGGAATTGTTGGGGGAGGCATGGGAGGATGGGAGGTAGAGGGAACTGGCATTGATATGTAAAATAAGAAAGTTTCTAATTTAAATTTTAAAAATCTAGAGGAAATAAAAGGATATCCAAGTCTGTCAGTTTATTACTAACTAAACTTTGGAGTTTATTTGGATTTCTCTAGTTTTCCAGGGTCCCATGCAAAGCACCACACTGCACATTTCTCTGTATTCCCTGCAGCCATGACAATATGCCACTTTCTTCTCTTGGCTTTGTAAGACCTTGAAAGTTTTGAGGAGGATTGGTCAGGTTTTTGTAGAATATTGCTGTCGCTTTCATATGATTAGATTGTGGTGCTAAGCTTGAAATATATTCTAGGGACAGTAAGGTACTTTCTTCTTCTTCTTCTTCTCCTCCTCCTCCTTCTTTTTCTTCTTCTTCTCCTTCTTTTCCTTCTTTTAAAAAACAATTGTAGATGTTTATTTGATATTACAAATGTAGTTAGCTACCATAAAGTATTTTTCTTCATCACAAAATAATAAGGATTTAAACAATCCAAGGAGAAAAAAATCTAGAAGCTTTATTTTTATTTTTATTTTTTTGACCTGGGCACTAATTCTTCTAAAAATGGTCTCCAAAATCTTGGGTAGCATTATCATACTCAGTAATGAATTGATTGAGTTCTTCAACACATTGCTTACTCATTTCATGTAATGTCTGCCTTAATGCAAACTGTATCGATTTTTCTAATGAAGGGTCTTTTTCAATTAGCATGTTCACCACCATCCCAAAAGTTTCATGGTCTTGTCTGTAAACCTCCTCAATCTCTTTGGTTTTTGATGCAATGGCTTTAGAGCGTCTGCTAAGCTGGCTGTCTTCATATAATTCTGTGCCATCTGGTGTGTTCGACTCGGGTTCTTCTGTCTGGTCGATAAATAAGGGTGCCATGGATCCCCCCTCAAACTCTGAAATCTCAATCAAGTTACTTTCCTCTGCCTTCTCTGGCTTTTCATTAGCCGATTTGCTTGTAGCCTTGGCAAGTTCCCTCTCAGTTAGCCGGCTAGGTTTGTCTAACATCTCAGATGAATAAACTACTGAAGAACTTGAGGGTGAATTATCTCTTGATGTTTTCAAAGACTGAATGCACCTTTCTTTACTTCCAGACTGAGATTGATGGGAGGAGTGTGTCCTGCTTCGTTCTGAGCAGGAGCTTCTACTGCTGAGCCTGGAGCCAGATCTGCTGTGTGGGGAATCCTTCTGGCCTACAGGTGACTCTCTGAAAAAAGGAGCGTCTCTTTTATGGGGAGACCGTTCTCTTGAATAATGGGAAGAGCAGAAACTTTCTCTTCCAAAGGCATCTCTCTTGTGCCTGTATTCAGACCATTGGCTTGTGAAATCATCTCCTCTCTGAGGTGGGCCACTCCTTCGATCATGAGAAAAACTGCGGCCCTTGTCACATTCTTGGTAATCAACATGACTGTAATATCTACTGTAGCCTTCTCCATCAGCTCTGGCTAGCACAGGCGGTGTCATGTCTCGCACAGGCGGTGTCATGTCTCTCACAGGTGTTGTCATGTCTCGAACAGGTGGTCTGGTGTCTCGCACAGGCGGTGTCCTGTCTCGCACAGGCGGTGTCGTGTCTCGCACAGGCGGTCTCTTGTTTCGCACAGGTGGTGTCCTGTCTCGCACAGGCAGTGTCATGTCTCGCACAGGCGGTGTCATGTCTCGCACAGGCGGTGTCATGTCTCGCACAGGCGGTGTCATGTCTCGCACGGGCGGTCTGGTGTCTCGCACAGGCGGTGTCTTGTCTCGCAAAGGTGGTCTCTGATTTCGCACAGGCGGTGTCATGTCTCGCATAGGTGGTGTCATATCTCGCACGGGCGGTCTGGTGTCTCGCACAGGCGGTGTCATGTCTCGCATAGGTGGTCTCTTGCTTCGCACAGGCGGTGTCCTGTCTCGCACTGGCGGTGTCGTGTCTCGCACAGGCGGTCTCTTGTTTCGCACAGGTGGTGTCCTGTCTCGCACAGGCGGTGTCATGTCTCGCACGGGCGGTCTGGTGTCTCGCACAGGCGGTGACTTGTCTCGCATAGGTGGTCTCTTGCTTCGCACAGGCGGTGTCATGTCTCGCATAGGCGGTGTCATATCTCGCACAGGCGGTCTCTTGTTTCGCACAGGCGGTGTCAGGTCTCGTATAGGTGGTCTCTTGTTTCGCACAGGCGGTGTCATGTCTCGCATAGGTGGTCTCTTGTTTCGCACAGGCGGTGTCCTGTCTCGCACAGGCGGTGTCATGTCTCGCATAGGTGGTCTCTTGTTTCGCACAGGCGGTGTCCTGTCTCGCACAGGCGGTGTCATGTCTCGCACGGGCGGTCTGGTGTCTCGCACAGGCGGTGTTAGGTCTCGTATAGGTGGTCTCTTGTTTCGCACAGGCGGTGTCATGTCTCGCATAGGCGGTGTCATATCTCGCACAGGCGGTCTCTTGTTTCGCACAGGCGGTGTCAGGTCTCGTATAGGTGGTCTCTTGTTTCGCACAGGCGGTGTCATGTCTCGCATAGGTGGTCTCTTGTTTCGCACAGGCGGTGTCCTGTCTCGCACAGGCGGTGTCATGTCTCGCATAGGTGGTCTCTTGTTTCGCACAGGCGGTGTCCTGTCTCGCACAGGCGGTGTCATGTCTCGCACGGGCGGTCTGGTGTCTCGCACAGGCGGTGTTAGGTCTCGTATAGGTGGTCTCTTGTTTCGCACAGGCGGTGTCATGTCTCGCATAGGCGGTGTCATATCTCGCACAGGCGGTCTCTTGTTTCGCACAGGCGGTGTCCTGTCTCGCACTGGCGGTGTCCTGTCTCGCACAGGCGGTGTCCTGTCTCGCATAGGCGGTGTCATATCTCGCACAGGCGGTCTCTTGTTTCGCACAGGCGGTGTCCTGTCTCGCACAGGCGGTGTCCTTTCTCGCACAGGTGGTCTCGTGTCTCGCACAGGCCGTCTCATGTCTCGCACAGGTGGTCTCGTGTCTCGCACAGGCGCTCTCGTGTCTCGAACAGAGGGTCTCATGTCTCGCACAGGCGGTCTCATGTCTCGCACAGGCGCTCTAGTGTCTCGAACAGACGGTCTCGTGTCTAGCACAGGCGATCTCGTGTCTCGCACAGGCGGTCTCGTGTCTCGCACAGGCGGTCTCGTGTCTCGCAAAGGCGGTCTCATGACTTTCACAGGCGGTCTCGTGTCTCGCACAGGCGGTCTCGTGTCTCGCACAGGCAGTCTCATGTCTCGTATAGATGGTCTTATGTCTCGGAGAGTTAGCCTCGTGTTTCTCACAGGAAGTCTCTTTGGCACAGCATTAACTGCGCTATGGTAGTCATCACTGACATGCCTCCAAGTGGGCGTCGGTTCTCTTGGAAGACATTTGTAGTCATATCGTCCCTTAGACCACATCCCATCACGTGTGGAAGCCCCTATCTTCCACCTCTGCTACTGAATCAAGTGAAGGCAGATCTGCCATCCGGGGAATTTCTTATTACATCACAAAGGGATTCATGCTATGCAAATCACTTGTCAATTATGACGTTTTCATGCGTTTCAATAATTCTGAATTCACACTGCCTCTAATTCAAAATGGAGGGGATGCGATGCTTTATATTGTCACTAAAACATAAGCTTTAAAACTTTTCCAACCTTTACTCATGCTGTTTTAATCTATCCTAATATATGACTGTCTGACATCCTGAAATTTGCCCACTCTTCTTTGATGAAGAGATGAACTTGCTCTTTTTCTGACTCTACTCTCATCTATATCATGGATCAGAGGGCTTGGGTGGGTAAAGACATTGTAAACTGCTGAGATTCTGACCATTAGATTGTTCAGCCACCATTTACAGATTATAAATATAAACAGTTCACTAGAGATAACTCTAGAAAGCTTATCAAGTAAAAAGTCCTTGCCTTTAATCCTCACAACATGAGTTTGATCCCCAGGAGGCACGTAGAGGAAGGAAAGAAGCAACTCTTACAAGTTATTTTCTGATCTCGACATGATTGCAATGACATACATGTCCAAATACATGCTTGCAAGTACAGTAAGTAAATGTTAAGATTTATGATAACTCTGAAGACTTGAGCTGTCATCACCATATTATTGAGGCTAAAGCAGGAGGATAGTGAATTTAAGGACAAGGGGAGCTACACTGGAATTCTTCCCTATTCCCTGCCCCACAAATACATCTCTGAAGAACTGTGGTATATTTCTAGATTTTCATATTTCTAAAACACCATTCTAAGATTTCATTTGGTTTTAATATTCAAACCTGATGTTTTAAACAGTGTTAATGAGGTGAGAACCTAGTAATAGGAGTTAGGATTTATAGAACTTGGGGAATGGGAATATCTTTTATAATTACCATTAGAAAATTATTCCTCTCTCTTGTTGTTTGAAGATTTTCCTGCTGGCATCATTTGCCATCTTATTTTAAAAAAGCTTTCGATATCAACATCATCTTGAAACATCTGCCTGGTTGAATGGAAAGAGGCAACCATTGAAAAGTTGTGACTTCACTTTCTGTGTAGTTTGAAGAACTTTTGTTCTTTGCTCGCAGGAGTGACTTTTAATACAGCTACATTAATACAAATTAGAGTGAATGATGTAAAATGCCAAATTGCTTTACTGTACAGAATAAACATTCCTTGAAAAGGAAGTTTAAACAGCAAAAAATTTGGTGGTCATTGGTGTTGGAATTGGTGGCTTAGAGAATTTCATGGGAAGAAGAAGTCTGTTTCTCTTGCACAAACACACACACACACACACACACACACACAGAGAGAGAGAGAGAGAGAGAGAGAGAGAGAGAGAGAGAGAGAGAGAGAGAGAGAGAGAAAACATATCTGCCTCTGTAGGGTGCTGAGGTACATAATGTTGATTTGAGAAAATGACAGTGTCTCTTAGTTCCTGTTGTTTTCTACATTGATTGCTAATCATTTTATACTCCTTCAAAAGGAAAAAAAGTTTATGTCATGTATTCCTTTGTTTTGATTACATTGTTCCCTAGAAAGAAGTTGTAAGGCCAATCAGAAGACACAGAGGATACAAGAACTTGCCACCAAAAGACCTGGGATTCATTCCCAGAACACAGCGTGGAAGGAGAAACAGAGGGCTGATCTACAAAATATATAAAAAATTCAAGATACTGAGTCAAAAATAAAACAATCCAATTAAAAATGGGGAGCTGACCTAAACAGAGCATTCTCAATAGAAAACCCTCAAATGACAGAGAAGCAATTGAAGAAAAATTTATCATCCTTAGCCATCAGAGGAATGCAAATCAAAAGGACTCTGAGGTTCCATCTTACACCTGTCAGAAGGCTAAGATCAAAACCACAAGTGACAGCTCATGCTGGATAGGATGTGTAGCGAAAGGAACATTTCTCCATTGCTGGTGATAGTGCAAACTTGTACAGCCACTTTGGAAATCAATATGTCAGTTTCTCAGAAATATGGGAATAGTTCTACGTCAAGATCCAACTATACCACTCCTGAGCATATACCCAAAGCATACTCATTCATATTACAAGGACACTTGCTCAACTATGTTCATAATGTCTTTATTTGTAATATCCAGAACTTGGGAACAACCTAAATGTCCCTCCACTGAAGAATGGATAATGAAAATGTGGTACATTTACACAGTGGGGTATGGCTCAGCTGTTAAAAACAAAGACATCAGGAAATTTGAAGGAAAATAGATGAAACAAGAAAAAAAGCAATAAAATAAACAAACAAACAAAAAAAAAAAAACATCCTGAGTGAGATAACCCAGACCCAAAATGGCAAACATGGTATGTACTTAGTCATAATTGGATATTAACTCTAAAGTAAAAGATAACCATTTTACAATCCATAGTCCCAGAGAATCTAGGTAACAAGGAGAGCCCAAAGAAGAACCTTGAATCTCCCTAGGAAGGGGAAATAGAGATCTCCTGGTTAGACTCACAGTGCATGGGCATATGAACTTGAGGGATAGGCTTTGGGAGGGTAGATGGAGGCGGACAGTGCTGAGAGAGATGGCTGGAAAGGGGGGCTTTAAAGAGTTGGGTAGAAGCCTGATGCAAGGGAAATTTCCAGGAGTATACAGGAATGGCCCCAAGATACCTGGTAGCAGTTGATGCATAGCCTGAACTGGCCATCCTTTGGGATCCGATTGTCTTCCTTCATCCATTGACTAACTGATGGAGGCATATTCCGAACCCATAGCCAAACACTGGCCTGAGCTCAGGAATCCTGCTGAGGAGGGAGGAGGGATCATAGGAAACAGGGGAGCCAGTAACATCACAGGAGAACCCATAGAAAAATAGACTGTCTTATGGGAACTCAGTCTGAAGCAACAATCAGGGAGCCTGCATGAGACCAACCTAAGTGTTCTGCATATATGTGAAAGTTGTATAATTGTGTTTATATGTGGGACTTGCAGCAATGGGAGCAGGAGCTGTTCCCAGTGCTTAGATGGGGCTTTGGGATCCAATTCCTCATGCTGGATTGCCTTGCCCAGCCTGAATACGGTGGAGGGGGAGTTGGTCTTAGGGAAGCTTGATATGCCATGCTTTGCTGATGCCCATGGGAGGCCTGGCCCTTTAGGAGCATTTAAGGAGGAGTGTGTGGGCTGCTGCAGAGGGAGGGAGGGGAGAGGGAGTGGCAGGAGAGTAGGGAGGGATGCCTGCTCAGGATGAAAAGTGAATAAATAAATTAATAATAATAAAAAAGGAGCTTACCACCAAGCCTGAGTTTCATCCCCAGAACCCACAAGGTGAAAGGAGAAAACACAAATTGTCCTTTGACCTCTGGCCTCCACACATGTACCATGGCATTTGAAACACACACACACACACACACACACACACACACACACTGCACCCAACAAACATAAATCCAAATCCAACAACAAATAAATGAAAATCCAAAACTTAAAAAACAGAAGGTACAGATGAACTTTTAAGGATGGAAGTAGGTCTAAACTTCTGATAATAGGTTCATGCAAGAAATATGAACAATTTCTAGTACTTATTCTTCATTTGGTTCAAACATTATAATGAAAATCATGACTGCCAAGAAGGGCTTTTGCAGAGAATCAAACACCTGAAAATCAATTTAAAAGAGAAGATAAATTCAAGACAATTCAAACACTACAGTAAATTTGGCACTGGGTACTTGGACACAAGATTCCAAAGGCAAGGTTTCTTAAGATAAGCATTTGTGTTTCGAATTTCCCCCACTTGGCTCTTTATGATAACAGCTTTCGTAAATAGCATAGCAGTTGAAACATTTATTATTGGAACAGAAATGCAATTACATGCAGATGTTGTCCTGTGATTCATTGCTTTGTGCTACATACATTTTCAAGCTGGAGGAAGAACAAGCAGGTCATCCAGTAAATGCTGCAGGCCGAGCTCCTCTTACTCTCCTGACTTGCATTATCTAATCTCTGTTGTGAGTGTTGCCACAATCTAGGCCTCTGTGGCCCTTCCTGGCAGCGTGTTTCCTTGTGCAATTTCTCCAACTACCATCAAAAATTTCTTTTCGTCCAACACAAACCTTCTCTACTTAATCCAAACCTGGTTCTTTCTCCAACATTCCTGACCCAAGGCGTATAAAATTACCACCACATTTATTTTATTTTTCCAAGTTTGTCATTGTTTTCTACTTTCTGTTCAGGTGGATTTGAGATTTTTTTTTCTTTTTTGCTTTTGGTTTTGCTTTGCAATGAATGAACTCTATTGATGGAGAGCAGTGAGTGACCAGAAGTATAAGTAAGGAGGGACGTAATGGGGAAACTGATGAGGAACTACTAGAGTTGGAATGGACAATAACATAGTAGGCAATATACTGGAAACGACATTTGCATTGAACCTTAGGATATAGGTGTTAGCAATGAGAGTAGCTGATGAATCAATTCTTATGGCCACTGTAGCAATGTATTACAAATTCAGTGGCTAAAAACAATCCAAATATATTACCTTAGAGTTGTCAGGGTCAGAAATCCAACATGAGTCTCTTTTGCTTAAAGTCAAGGTGTCAACTGAGCTCTGTTCTTATGTGATTCTTCTTCTAGGAGAAAATCTGGTCCCTGGACTTTTCCAGCTTTTAAAGACCACCCTGATTTTTGGACTGTAGTTCTTTCTTCTGTGTTGGAGCTAGCAATATTTAGTAGAGTTGCTTA